TATAGAATAAAGCGGTGTGAAATAGGGAACATACAGCATGGCATATAGAATAAGGCAGTGTGGAATAAGGAATGTACAGCATGGCATTTGTAGCGTACTAGAAGATTTTTTTGTACCCTAATAGAATTATCCCAGCTCCATTCAGATAGGGTAGACCTACAATTGACTGCAGTGACAGCTTAGCCAATGGGTACCCAAGTCGGCCCCAAAGATGAAGGGAGCTGTGCCTTAAGTTGTACTGTGCTCCATTCAGACCCCTATCAGCATGAACCCGCATTGATTGCAGTGACACCAAGGCCAATCGGTCTCCAGGTGAGGATAGGTGTTTACCTTTTTAGTTAATCTGTGCACCATTCAGACCTCTCATTAGCGCAGACTCAAAGTGGTTGTAGTGCCAGACAGTTCAGATAATCAGTGCTGTCACTTCTTCTGCCGTGCTCTGCATTAGATGAGTCATCAGTCAGAGCCCAGCAAAGGAAGTGTATCTTTCCCTGCCCCAGCTCTTTGTTTACATTTGACATCAGCGACCAGCTGTGCTATCTGTCACTACGGGTCTGCGCTGATGGGAGGCACAGCTGAATGGGGCACAACTTACTAAAGGGGCAAATCACCACTGTCCCTGAGTGGTGTGGTGCCTATGGCACATGCCCTGCCTGCCATTCCTTAGATACACCACTGCTGGGGACCCCTGTGCTGCAAAGCCATAGCACTATATACTAAACTACTGTGCAGAGAAATGTAAATTAAAAACTGCTTTTATTATTATACAGGATTTATATAGCGCCAATAGTTTGCACAGCGCTTTACATTATAAGGAAGACATTACAGTCACAATACAATTTAAGACAAGATGGTAAGGAGGGCCCTGCCTGTGAGTGCTTACAATCTAAAAATCTTTTATACAATTTATTACAGATTACTAATCTTGCCAGCAGTAGCCCTTTATATAAAATTACTAATATTCCTTTTAACTGCCTAAAATATCAAATCTCTTTTATTTTTATGTGTGTCAGATTCAGGGAATGGTGGTGACACAGATCAGACATTCAGCATGGTCCTTTGTTCCAACTATTCTGTTTCTTCTCCATCAGACAGACACTTTGGTTGCCACCTGGCATTAACTCATGGTCCTGCCTCCTGTAGGCAGAATTATTATTACTATTTATATATAAAGATATAGTGCCGAGCTGACAATTTACGCCGTGCTTTACATAATTGCACATTCACATCAGCCCCTGCCCTCAAGGAGCTTACAATCTAAGGTCCCTATCTCACATGCGTACATATGAGGGCCAATTTAGACAGGAGCCAGCATGTCTTTGGAGCGTGGGTGGAAACCGGAGGAAACCTACGCAAGCACAGGGAGAACATACAAACTCCTTGCAGATAGTGACCTGGCCAGGATTCAAAACATGGACCCACAGTGCTGCAAGGTAGAAGTACTAACCTCTATGCCACTGTGTTGCCCCTACATAGTTTATCAGAACAAATGAAACAGTGCTGCAGCCTTTTGCAGTAACAGTGATAGAAATCAGGCAGGTCTTTGCACCAGTATAGCTTATCCAGGGCAGTCATCAGAAATTTTGGGGCCCCATACACAGCTTCAGGCCTGGGCTCCCCACCTGCCCACCAACACTCCGCAGGTCTGTCCACTTTCTGTCCCAACAAATCCGCTCACAGGCCATCCCACCGAGTATTTCAGTGCACCCACTTTTAACACTCCTAACCTTGTGTTCTGCCTTTATACAAGCCCTACCCACATATACACATTGTGTTACAGAAATTAACTATTAATTATTACCTATTAGATATTATTAGAAAAAAGAACACAGTACTCAATAGTAATTAATGCACAGTTTAGTAGCAAATAAAGCAGAGCTCAGTAGTAAAGAACGCAGAGCTTGGTAGTAAATAATGCAGTAACACAGTACTGTACCACTACAATGCTTAACAATAACACTGGGCACCTGGAATATTATATACAGACAAAATCAATACTGGTGATAACACTAAACTTTTTTTTTTTTTACAGAAGCTAGAGAGTTTACCCTAGTCCACATACAGATATGTGTCATTATACTTCTTCACTCTTTCCCTACAGCTGCTACAGCTCTCCCCCTTCCCCCAGTTCTGTGTCTGAACTTTCCCATTTATTTACCTTGTCAGTTCTGAGATGGACAGGAGCCACTCTAACAAACAAAAGCCAGGATGCAGCTCCCCAGGGACACGCAAGTGAAAAGCAGGACTGGCAACTATGGGGTGTGTGGGTAGGGTTGCCAACTTTTCTTTAAGCGAAACCCAAACACTCTAGTGCCGCACAGCAATTTTGGGAGAATATAGAGGAGAGACAGCCACAACAGAGCACAAGGAGAGACAGCCACAACAGAGCACAAGGAGAGACAGCCAGATGAGAGACATCCTAGGGAGAGAGTGAGAAGAGACAGACAAGGGAGAGAGCGAGAAGAGACAGTCTGGAGAGAAAGTAAATACATCCAGGAGAGAGAGCAAGGAGACAGCCAGGGGAAAGAGCAAGGAGACAGCCAGGGGAAAGAACGGAGAGACAGCCAGGAGGATGAGTGATGAGAGACAGCCAGGACAGGAACATTGAGGAGAGACAGCCAGGAGAAAGAGCAAGGAGTAAACCAGTAGCATGAGCGAGCAGAGACAGCCAGAATGAGCGAGAAGAGACAGCCAGGAGCATGACCGAGGAGGGACAGCCAGTAGAGAGCCAGGAGGATGAGTGAGGATAGACTGCCAGGGGAAAGAAGAGAGACAGCCAAGACGATGAGCAAGGAGAGACCGCCAGGGGAGACAGCAATGAGAGACAGCCTGGGGAGACAGCAATGATAGACAGCCAGGGGAGACAGCAATGATAGACAGCCAGGGGAGAGAGCAAGTAGACTGGCAGGTGAGAGAGTGAGGAGAGACAGCTAGGAGCATGAGTGATGAGAGACAGCCAGGATAGGAACATTGAGGAGAGACAGCCAGGAGAAAGAGCAAGGAGTAAACCAGTAGCATGAGCGAGCAGAGACAGCCAGAATGAGCGAGAAGAGACAGCCAGGAGCATGACCAAGGAGGGACAGCCAGCAGAGAGAGCCAGGAGGGTGAGTGAGGATAGACTGCCAGGAGAAAGAGAAGAGAGACAGCCAAGAGGATGAGCAAGGAGAGACAGCCAAGGAAGAGAGCAATGAGAGACAGCCTGGGGAGACAGCAATGATAGACACCCAGGGGAGACAGCAATGATAGACAGCCAGGGGAGAGAGCAAGTAGACTGGCAGGCGAGAGAGTGAGGAGAGACAGCTAAGGGAAAGAGCGAGGAGTGACAGCCTGGAGCATGAGCAAGGAGAGATAGTAAGGCGAGACAGCCAGAGGGGAGAACAATGAGAGACAACCAGGAGGATGAGCAAGGAGAGACTGCCAGAAGCGATGGCCAGGGGAAAGAGAGGAGAGACAACCAGGAGGATGAGTGAGCGGAGAGAGTGAGGAGAGACAGCCAGGGGAAACGGCAAGGAGAGACAACCAGTAGCATGAGCGAGGAGAGACAGCCAGGAATTTGAGCCAGAAGAGCGAGGAGAGACAGCCAGGGGAGAGAGCAAGGAGAGGCTGCCAGGAGAGAGAGAGAGCGAGGAGAGGCTGCCAGGAGAAAGCCAGGCGAGACAGCCAGGGAAGTGAGCACAGCGAGAGAGCCGAGGGAGGGGGCAAGGAGAGACAGTCAGGGGAAAGTGCAATTAGAGACAGCCAGAGAGATTAGCAGGAAGAGACTTCCAGGAGCATGAGTGAGGAGAGACAGAAAAGGGAAAGAGCGAGGACAGACAGCCAGGCGAGAAAGGAAAGACAGCCGGGAGAGAGAGTGAGGAGAAACAGCCAGGAGAGAGGAGAGATAGCAAAGTGAAAGAAAGAAGAGACAGCCAGGAGGAAAAATTATCAGAGACCGCAAGGAGAGACAGCCAGGGGGAGAGAGCGAGGAGAGATAGCCAGGAAAGAGAGTGAGGAGAGATAGGGAACAACACATCTGCCTAAAGCAGAACCCCTGTGCCCTTTAAGACTTATCTGCACCCTCTGTTTCAGACATCTCCTTGCTCCTTGAGTTCCAGCATCCCTTCATATCCCGTGCCTTCTCCATGCACTCAAGTTGGAACACCAGGACCCTGTGGTTGCCCCTGTCTGCCTGTCATTGTGCCATCTTGTGTCCAGGTTTCCCTGTCTGCCTGACATTGTGCCATCTTGTGTCCAGGTTTCAGCTGTTCTGAAACCCCAAAACAGCACATTAGGACACAAAACTCGAACTGTCTGTGTGAATCCCAGACGCGTAGCACCCCTAGGGGGAGGCCACAGGCCCCCTCTTGGCCACAGGCCTTTGGGCATTGTCGGAGTGTCTGAAGGTCAGTCTGCCCCTGTACACTATACAGCAAAAATTTGTTGGTTAGGGCCCTTATGTGTGTATTGGCCGTTCCCCCCTTAATGGGAGCTTATCTAACATTTTATGTCGGCTTGAGAGTCTGGATCCACCATGGACACTAGGGGTCGCCACGAAGTAGCTCTATAGTGTCATTCTCAAATGTATTAATGCAAGGAACTCCATGCATTGAAAGTCCAAGCACTTTCTTACATGGGGGAATTATACTCTGACCCCAAGGATTATTAAATTTATTTATTTCAGTTTACTAATTTAAGCTTTCCAGTGTTATTTAGTTGTCTTTTTTTTTTTTTTTTACC